TAGCAAATATTTTGTTCAGCATAGCTTTCCTTGCAGCTTACTTTGAAATGGATGAATCACCTGTTCTTCAGGAAAACATTCTAATTCTTTCCGTATTTTTTTTTTCCTCCTCTTTTTTCTTTTAAGATCAACCACTTCAGGAGAACCAGATTCCACTTCTATGACCAGGACTTTTATATTATGGCTGGTCCGATTGTTTTACCCTGCGTTCTATGCTACTAAAGCTTGGATCATTCCTAAAGTACAAATTCTGTTCTTGAACCACAAACAAGCTAAAAGATCGGAGGAAATTCAGTGAATATGCAGGATTGAAATTGTGTGTTTTCAAAAGTGTTGAGATTTATAATGCAATTATTTAAGAAATAGAATCATTTTTATGTTGTTGCCAGCATTTTAGGTTAGATATTTATTAAGTGGCATTCATCAAATAACTACAGATTATGCATGGAAATGTTTGCTGTCTGAATAGTTTGGAGATTTAAAGAGAAAAATCGAGCTTCAGAGGTATTAAATTATGGCATACAAAAAAGTTTTGATTTTATTCTTAAATGCAATGGTATCTATTTAAATCAGATTTAAAGTGTTATATGTCCTGGGCCCTCCTTAACAGTTGTGCTATATAGAAGCGTAATGGGAAGCAAAATTTCAATTAAGGTCCCATTAAGTGGCTTATAATCCTTCTTTAATGTAACAGAGGCTATGGTGTTGCTGAACAAATCTGCTAGCAGCAGATTTTAACCCATGTTTAGTCTCTTTCTTCGGATCTGAGGGAATGACTTAACTGTTCATTGTCTGCATTGTTTCTCATATTCTTCATTACTTTGGGATCTGGGATTAGTCTATACATAGTCATTTTCATAATTATTTAGCTCACCCTCACTTTTATGTATATCATATATTTCTACTTATGTATTTTAATTAGTATTTAGAGGAAAAACATCTAACTGAACCCAACTGTGATTTCTAAGCTCTCCTTCTTACTGGAAGAAGAATTCTGCATCAAACCAGACTTTTCCTAGTCCCTGAGACCCTAACTTGTGAGGTATTTTAGTAACATCACAAGTCAGGCTCTTGGGACCTAGGCGGAGGGGAACCAGCAGCTTTGGACCTTATTGATTGTCTACAGTTACCATCAGAACAAAAGAACATACATAGATTCTTCCCAGGAGAAAAGAACAATGCTTTTCTTTATAATCAGAAATGTTTTCACCATGACCTACCCCCCAAAATATTATTGTCAGAAACTATACTCTAAAGTGTTACACAGTTGCACTGAAATAGCATTTCTATTATATTATACTGATAATACAAAAGGAATATAAGATATCTGTGTGAGATGCAGAACTAAAATACAAGGTTTTCAAATGCTTCTTTTGGTGTATTTTAAGGTGATAAGTGTAAGAGAATATCTCTTTAGGTAATGAATAGAGTTGCTTATATTTATTGCTTTTTCATATGGATAGAATTCTATACATGAACTATTTAAGAATCCTATATGCCTTCTCACAACTGTGACTCAGAATATGTAATCTACAGCTCTAATCATGGTTGAGGCCTAGAAATAAAATGATTTACAATCTTTTTTACTGACCCTATTAGATTTTATGAGAATGCTGTTTTGTACCTGATATTTATTGCTAGAGTTTTCTTCAATCTTTTACTCAAACAAAATATTTCATGTGGATTAACAGTTCCTTGTTAAAAGAGCCCAAGAATTAGAGTTACCGGAAATTTTGGAAAATATGCTACCTTTCAGTTTTTACGTTCTTTTGTATATAACATGGATCTATGTGAGCTAAAGCAGTAAGTGCCACCTATGAAGCCAAACTGCTCTGGTTTACCTATCAAGTGAATTTCAACTACACAGCTTTGCTTTTATAAAAATTTTAATTTTATCAAAAATAACCCTTCAAACCATAAGGAATATATAGTATTTATTAGTCATTGCCACATCAAATATTTTTTTTGGAGAAAGAGTATACTAAAAACCTATTAAATTTTTATAATAATGTTGCAAATATCAAGATTCAAATTGGGATGAGAGACTTGATAATAAAAAAAACAAAATGACTGCATTCTTTTAACTCTACTGCTTTATATGGGTACTATAAATTGTTTTCTGCACTGTTAAAATAAATTTAGGCATGCATTTTGGAATACTCTATGGAGTCTTTGTTCACTTTTTCCTTGGATTTGTAACAATTACTTATGATTTTAAATATCACAAAATACAAATTACCCATAAGTTTATTTTTAAAAAATATAATAATAAAATGAAGAAGCTCCTCACTTATACAAAGCATATAGAATATGCATAACTATATATCTACACTATATTCATTATTTATAATACCTACTTCATTTATCTAGAAGCATTGAATTTTTGTGTATTTGTCTGTCTATAAACATGTTTTAAAATTCCAAAAGAATGAAGGTAAAATAAACAGTAAAGATTTTCAGTGGTATTTATCTTTTATTTCTTTTTATCTCATTCATATTGGAGTCAAACATTTTTAAAAGCCAGAAGTTTCTCAGTACAAAGAACTCTATGTATGTGTATATGCACACACACAGAAACATAATTATATTTAATAACAATGTGCACACAATGGGAACAGAAACTACCTGTTATACAAAACAACATCACATACTGATATATACTTGCTGACACCTGTGTTAACATAACCATAAATAGATATAAGGTATTACATCAATTTAATTCCAAACTAATGTAAAGGATAGAGGTCTATTGGCCATAATGATATTAATACAGGTTATTTTAAATGCAAGAATTTCTATATTATCACATTAATGAACCATACTATGTAACAACTGTAGTTCATAAAATATACATAACAAAAGTGAAATTAGATTGCAATATTTGTTCATTTTCCCAAAAATAAGCTACATATTTTTACTAATAATATTGTATTCTTTGAACTCTCTCTATATGTTTCCTATGTGAACTGTGTTTTATGAAAATATCATTGATGAAGCTTTTCTCTTATACCATAAAGGTGTGAATAGCTATAAGTGGGTGTATATGCCACTTAATTCTGTATGTGCCTTGAAGAATGTCACTTTTTCTGCATTTCCCTCTCAGTAGTCACAAGATAATATTGTTTGGGGGACTTAAGACTTGAAAAATCAGATCATTCTGAGCCTAAAATTAAGGGTGAAATTTGCAACAAAAAGCAAGAAAATGACGTGTGTTGCATACAAAAAAAAGCAGTGATATTAATGATTCGATGGCTTCTTGGTTGGAAGACCAGTCTGAGCCAGACGCATACATTAAGGGCTGTCTGCTGCCGATGTGAGCTTGCTCAATACGGTGGAAATGAGGAATCACCTCCTCTTTGACACCAGCTTATTTGTACATTTTAATTTTGAAATAGCAAATCACTGTTTATATAAATATGTTAACCCCTGCTTGATTCTTTTTCTGTCTTGTATTGCTTGCTAATGTACTATGAACTTGGAACTCCTTTTAAAAACAAAAATCATTACTCAACTTAAACATCTACCAAAGACCAATGAGGAATTAGTTTTTCTTTTGTCTCTTTTGTGTTACTCTGATAATATTATAATTCTTATGCTTTTAACTTTAGATCTATGTAAAGAAAACATTGATTTTCTAAGGTGACATCTTTTAAAGCCTTTTAGGATCCATCAAGGAAGCCACTGTGGAATTATGCCAAATCTATGTATGATAATATTTCATTTCAGGATTCATGGGATCAATATCATTCTGTTTAGAAGTCCTAAACACATCAGTATTCCAGTGAAGCTACAGAACAGTTGTAGAGGTATATTTAAATCATTTAAGTACTAGGCTACATTAATAATGTCTAGAAGAGGAATAAGTATCTCAGGGAAATTATATCATAAGTGAATTGCTTATGAAATTAGAAAAGGACATTTTACTTTAAACTCTTCTTCAAATGGGCACTTGGTACATATGCCTTAGCTTGGTCTGGCCTAATACATGTTTAATATGTAAACAGATTTACAGGCTGTCATGTTTGGGTGAGTTTTGAGAAATACAGCACATAAAGGGTTAGCTAACGCCCAAATTTTCTTATACATGCAATTCAGCCTACGTTTCTTTAGGCAGAAAATACAGGCATCACTTTGATTGCTTGGATTCTTTTGTTTAATTTCTTACTAGACATTTAACTTAGCACTCAAATCCCACTGATCCTTTAGTGACTACATTTGGAAAAGGAAAACAAAGTTCCTAATATAGAGAAGCTTAAAAAATCCTAGACACTTGTAAACATTTCAAAAATAGAGTTTTTAGTGTAGTTCTTCAAATACAAATTTAGTACACAGAAATTTAGTTTCTATTATTGTCTGTGTGCCTTCCCCATGTATAGTTTTCTTATCTATCAACTACAGAACACACACTGGTTCTTTCATAAATAGACAGATATCTTCATTTCTTAAAGAGGTGTAGGTTAGCAAAATAGTATAAAATTGAAGAACCTTTGTGAAATCATCTACACTGTTTCTTCAGTAAGCTAGCATCAATTTTCATTTAATGTTACTTTTTACTACAGGGATCCATGTTAATTGTAGCTTTGTCAAATACAATGGCTTAATCAGCCAATATTAACTTGTATGTAAGATTTTACTTGTGAAAATATGAAAGTGGGTAAAACATGAAGGTAATTGATATTAATGAATTTTAAGACTACATAGTTCCATTTTATATAATCAGTCTGTTAATTCCATTCATTATTTTATGGGCAACTTAAAAGTAAAAAATTCTACTATGCTGAGCTAAAACTTTCAGAAATTATATGAGTAATGTGATTTTTGCTACCTTAATAATTATTTACTAAAGAAAACAAGTATAAAAACAATCATGGGCTATACCTATTTGGCAGAGCAAGTAAGAAAAGTAACCCTTGGGTTTTGTCTTGTGTTTGTTTTTGGTCCTTTTACATAGGCAAATTTAACCGATCTTCTCTCAGAAGTTTCTCTCTCTTTGTTGGTAGGTGTCTGAGGATTTGTGAGCATCAAGTGAATGTTCTGTGGAATCATCTTTCCTTGCCTTTGAATTACCTTTCCCTAGGCCATGATCATCATCTATATTTTATCTCTCCAAATTGGTAGGTCTTTCTTGAAATCCTTCTGCGTAATATTGTGGATATATATGCAAAGTACTGTATAAAAAACTATAAATTTACACTGATTGTTTTCTGAAATTCTGAAAATCTTTAGTGAGAGATGTTGAAATAGCCAACTGATTCATCTGATTTTGCAGAATTTTAAAATATGATGTCTCTCATAGTACACTCCCTAATCTTACAGGAATAGAGTGATGTGGCTATTATCAGTTTATTATACCTAATACTAAAATTCCAGTCTGGGCATTTACAAATGTTAGGGAGGTTTCTACATTAGACAATATTTTTTGTTGAGGGATTACACCACAGTCGGTTCCCTCCACTTCTTCCTCTCTTCCTGCCCTCCCCTCCACCCAACATGGAGCCTTTTCAACTTCTTCAAAGAAGTGGGGAAAAAAAGTAGACTCTTTATTAATGGGAGAAAACAAACTGGCTGCTGGACTTCCGAGGCAGCCCTCTAATAATAAAGCAGAGTAGGCACAGTGACAAAGAATTCTTGAATGTACTATATATATAGGGAAGGCTATTTAAATTCACCAGAGGGGCTTAGAGGACAAGTAGTAGAAAGTTTAGAATTCAATTCAAGCCATGCCAGAAAATGAAAATGTACTTAGAAAAGGATTTCCGAAACAAATGTTCAAAGATATGTCAACTTTTAAGGTTTTCTGCAAGAATGAAATTCATGATTTTTTTTTAGGTGACTTTTTTAATTAGAGAATAAATGATGAATACAATCTCAGAGAAATTGTATATTTAGAGAAAATATGTTCTTCCCATAAGTTATGTTCTAGTAAAAGACACCTACTACGATGACAAACAACAACAACAAAACACACACACAACCAAATATATACATGGGACAAAAAGGTAATGCATTTTTAAAAGCAATTTGACATATCATAACAGAAGTACTACTTTGGAAGAAAAATATTTGACTCCTATAATTTCCAGTTTATTTCTTCACATTCAACTCTGAGTTGAAATTTTTAAATAAAGAAGGTAATTCTGAAAGAGCAAGCTACTGATAATTGATAGGACTCTGTGATTTTCAGTTTGAGGGAGAAAAAAGTGATCCCTAATTTATCTCTTATTGAATTAGGAAACTTTCTTTGTTCTTCATTTATCTACAAGATGTGTGTATTTGAAAGGAATACTTACATCCATAAGAAGAAATATTTATCTGGCCTAATGTAGAGATGAAGAACTGCTTAAGTAGTTCATTTAATGCCTATATGGCCTTGACCCAGGACAAAATTTCTTGAAGGCTTTTTTCCTAATTTCTTTTAGAACTAACATAGATATTGAAGAAATTCTTGTTATTCTTTGTCATTAGGGATTACAAATAGTAAAGAGAAGGGAAGCTTAGGCTTAGTGGACACCTTTATTGCATTGTGGAAAGATCCTACTTGAGAATGAAAGACGTGAAATGCACCAATTCACAAATATATTTCTTTGACTGGAAAGAAGCCATTAATTTAATAAGTCATTAATTGTCCCTTTCTCTTCCAAGTTCTTTCTGTGCTCTCTGCCTCTCCGATTCTATGCTATCCCTCTTTCCCTCTTTCTCCACTGTGTTGATCTCATTCTCAGGGAGGTTCTTGTCATTTGGTGGGAAAAATAAAGGGCTGGGAAGCTCCCGACTTGTGTACCACTGTTACACCTTGGAATTATAGAAAAAATAAGGGAAAATGTTTCTCATTACCCAAAAATCAGTTTCAGGGATCAGAGAAGCTCTGATTACCTTTTTTGGCTACATGCCCATTCATTGGTGGATCCATCTCTGCACCTAAATTACTCTGATTGAACATTCAGTGTAGGGAAAATAGGCAAGGACATTAACATCGTCAGGCCCTGAAGAGTGACTGAGGGTCTGACAATGGCAGAGGTGGAAGGAAATTTAAAGCAGGTCAAAACATGTAAACAGGACTCTTGAAACTGGACTCTTCTAAATTGTTCAGAATAATGCTGTCTTAGAGACTTTGGACACATATTTTTGTATTTGAATTGGCTTGGTAGGCTTGGTCGTACCTATCAACATGCACCCCATGGATTATTCCATCAAATGTACTCTGTAAAGCATGGAAATGGTGAAACATTTACTTCATCATTTCTCAACTTGACTTTCAAGGCGATTAATTACAGTTTACTGACATTGTCTGTGATTGTTTACTTTGCTGGATACTCCAAAAAAGTAAGCATTTTGCCTCATTTAGGAATTGGAAATTTTATGAATTGTCAAGAATTATTAAAAATGGGAGTTTGATTAAGAAGGGATAGTGATTTTATTGTTATCTACTGTGTTTATTCTTAGCCACCATATGATAGGTTCATTCTGTTAGAGCAAATTATGTATACTTTTACCTTTTAACTTTGGTGTTAGAGAGTTGCTGATTCTTGAAAAAATCTTCATTCATGAATTGATTTCTAATCTTCACTGTGGTATCTAAATATATTTAAATTACTAGGTTGTTAAATTCTTATACTTTATGCTTTACTTTTTACCATTGTTTCTCATACTATAACCCTGGAAGCTTTTAACATTATACTATCAATATCTGCTTTTTACAGATCTTCCTCTATGAGAAAAAGATTAATTTGCTATGAATAATGATTCTAATTTAAAACGTTTGTTTTTATGATGCAAGTGAGAAAAGCAATAAAAGTAACTTGGAGAGTTTGAAATTTTATTTTAACTAACATTCACAATTCTTACTAATTAATCAAATCACAAAATTATGCTGTAGTGTCTACTTTGTTAAAATAAGTTGTCATATTTGGAAGATATGTTTATTCTGTTATGAATGTGTGTTTCTAAAAAAGCTGAGATATAGATTTCCATAAGTGTTTGTAATTTCTTCTGTGGCAGGATGATACCTATTTCCCCATACAATGCTTATTTCTCACCAAGTAAATCTTCTAGATTGTAATTTATCATTCTCTTTAAAAAAGACCCAGGTCTTCATTAAGCCTTGCTGATTGGCTAAGGAAAGGGATGGCTGTCATCAGCAGCCTTTCCAGACACTATACTGTGGCTCCAGACTGTCAGCTGGTGTTACCACTTTGTCTCAACTATAAATCACAATCTCCTAATGGCCAAGGTTGACACATTGACATTTTCAAGAAAAGTAAAAGGTCTTATTTGAATGGAAATCAATTTCATTTCACAAATCTTGGTTTAGTACTTCAAGTCTTTTCTTGTGTCTTGAGATTTGAGATTTCTTGAGATTTGAGATTTGAAATTTTCGTGATCAGAGAATTATTGGAATTTTATATCATGACTTTTTTAGCTATAAAGCTATTTTCTTATTTCTGTATTCATTCATAATAAAAAAACAACTTGCAAATTTTATAGTAGAAAATATCATTAATAAGCCAGATTTTACTTTAATTTATACACTCATTTCAAAATGAGTGTAGTAGTTCTTACTTTGCTTTGAAAATAATTGTGACATGTTCTATGATTTAAAAATACAAGCTGTGTAAACACAGGATTAGACTTTGAATATCTAATAATAGATAATGTCAAATATTGAGTGATTTTGAACTTGAGTTAGGCAGGTCTCAAACCTAAAATTCTCTGAAGAATATATGTACTTCTATGTTTTTTCACATTAAAAGAAACTTTTAGGTATTGTTTTAAATATTCTAGAGCAAGTGATGAATAACAAATAATTATGTTAAGTAGCTCCAGAGATTAAACTGAGTCAGCTTTTAATCACTCAACCAAAATGAGGTAAAAATAACTTCATACTTTACTAATGTAAGTAGTTCTTTTTGGGAGCTTGGCACTGAATTTTAGATAAAAGTTAGTGTATTTGACAGACAATTGATATTTGGGTGCCTAATGAAGTGTAAGCTAAGTTTGTGAAAGACATGCAGTGTTCACAGAGGTTTTCCCATTGATTGTGCGATTTCACAATGTGACAGGTTGGGATCTCTTTAAATATTTGGGCCCAGATACAAGGACTTAAGTGGTAAGATTCATCTGTCTACAATCAGGGTGACTTAAAACATCAATCCAGAGAATATGTCAGAACCATTGAGAAAGCTTTATGAAGCAACATCATTATTCTTGCCCTGGAAATTCTGACTCAGCAGGTACAGGGTAACGAATGCACAAGTGCATTTTGTAAAAACTCTTAGCCAATGACTAACACTCTAGTTGATTAAGAGTTGGGTAGAGAATGCTGAAATGAGAGTCTGTACAGAATTTCTGCACACATATAAAGACTAGTGCATCTGTACAGAGAATAAAAATAGAGCTATAAACTAGGATCACAACACGAATTTCATATAAACCTGAACTTTTGTGGTTTCCTTTCCTATGAAAATTATGTGTGAAATTTTGAATAGATGTTCATTTCTTCCCCTGGGGAGAATGATCCACTAGTGTTCATTAGGATTCTCCAAAGAGATTACAAAATTACAAAAACATTAGAACCACTAGTATGAAAATTAAAAGGTAAATGTTGAAAATCTCATTAATATTTGAGAGAATTTATTGACAGTATAGGTTACAGGAGAATGCAAATTGTGATGAGAAAAAAGGAAGAGAAGATGACCTACTTTCTCTACCTTGTTCATATTAGAAGAATGAGAACCATTGCATTTCATCAGCGAACCAGCGCTGGCTTCTTTGGGCCTCTTATTTCAGTCAGTAGAACTTTGATAATAGGCACGGTGCTACATCAGATCTGGAATGTCCCTAAAAGCTGGTGTGTTAAAGATATGGTCCCTAGCTTGGTGTTACTGGGAGATGGGAAGGATCTAGTGAAAGGTCTTCAGGTCATTAGAAGCGCTAATTTTGGAAGACGGGACAGGAGGCAGGGCACCAGTGAGCTAAATCCCCACCCAGCCTTGCTTCCACTTTTTCCCGCTTTCCACTGACTGAAGTGAGCAGTTTAACTGCACCAAGCGTTCCCACCATGATGTGGTGCCTTACCACAGTTCCAAAAGCAACAAGGCCAGCTGACCATGAACTG